GTTTTGGTTGTACAACAATCTTTTTACCATAAGCTGTTCAAGACATCAGCAGACAGAAATGCTTTTAAAATCCACAAGTTAAAATGTCCTTCATAACATACACTGTAAATTCAAATGCCCTAGTATTACACTTACTACTGCCTGCAATCTGAATTTCTATCAAGTGCACACATGTAATGTCTCTAGACTCCAGAAAATTATATTTCAGTTCTCAGTATTACTACTATTTTTTAAAAGTGTCTGTAAAATTATTAATAATTTGACATTGCCACTGGATTTCAAACCAGAAAAATAGAAATTTATAGTAAAACATTTAATAAACTAAAAGTAATAAAGTAAAATGGGATGAAACAAATAAGACTTTAACCCTTGTGCACTGTTCACTACCCTTTTGTGAAGTTAGGGATGAAAACATCCACTAAATTAAACTGCTATAAAAATGCATCAGATACTTTTTTTTTCAATTCTTTTGCATAAATCTGTTTAACCCCAGGCCTGATCAAAACTGCTAAATGTTTTTAAAAATTACAGAATTTTTAATTAATAAATTGCCAAGTTCACAAATGATGTCACTGATTTTGTGAAAAATACACACAAAATGATGAATTTTCAATTTAAAAAGTAAGCGTGGACTGGATTTTTAAACCCTTTTTTACAGTCTTGGATGCAAAGGATTAGTAACAACATCGCCTTTGATGCATTTTTAGATTTTCATTTTATCTCCCTAATTTACTTTTGGTGGCTGTTTTCGCCCCATTGACATTGACTGCATGTGATGGTGCATAAATACACAGTCTTTGTTTTTATTTACTACGTGTAGTTCTGAGAGCTGAGATGCATGTTTTGATTTTCTCAGACACATCAAGGTAAGTGTGTAAAGGTCACACTCACAGACACACATACACAGACTTTAATTTGTTGTTATACTCTATATAAAAGCCAGAAACAAAGCTTTTTTTTTTCTTTTTTTTTGCACAGGCCTATATAAGGGTTAATGGTGCCAATTCATAATCAACAGTAAAAATTACAATTGTACTCTTCCCAGAAGGGAAAAATACCAACAATCAAAATAATACATGATTATATGGTGTCATGGCTTTGTGATCAAATAAATGTGGTTATAATGGAAGCCAAGGGCAAAAACAGCCACCAACAGTAAATTAGGGAGAATTTTTTTTTTAAATCAATCAAAAACAATGCAAAGGTAATACTGTTTCACATGTCCAAGACTTTGATAAAAGGTAAAAAAATCCAGTCCACAATTACTTTTTATATGGAAAATATATAATTTTGTGTTTTTCACCAAATCAGTGACATCGTTTGTGAATTTGACAATTAAAGAGTTAAAATCCTGTAAATTTTCTAAGCAATTTAGTAGTTTTGATCAGGAATATGATTTATGCAAAAAAGAAATGAAAAAAAATGTATCTGATGCATTTTTACAGCAATTTAATTAGTGGATGTTTTCATCTAGAACATAATAAAAGGGTAGTAAATTGTTGAGTGTATTGATTGAGTTTTTTTTTTTATTCAAATAATTTTCTCAAAATATGTGTAAAAATAAGATTTGTTACCACAAATCATCCTTATAGCTAAAACACAGAAAAAAAGGTTATAGCCGAATTACTGTAAGACTCAAAAGCACCCTGTAAACACCCCCACGGGACATAAGGGTTATATAAATTGCTAAAATAAAAACCTGACCTCTTAGCACTCCTTTGCATTTACCTGACCCCGTTTTAAAACCCCCTGCTCTTCCGCAAAACAAAATAAAAGAGAAAATGTGATGACAGCCTTGATCAGCTAATGGCACCACACAAGCACAGTCCCAAACCACTTGAATCTATCTTTTGACTCGTGACGTCAAAAGCAACACGCAGACAAAAACATCTTCAACTTTGAGCTATTAAGAGCCCTCCAAAAGGGCCCACCAAAAAATGAACACTGGTACAACATTTACTAGACTTGAAATACGATGATGTATAATCAAATCTGTATCCACTGTTAAAGCCATTAATGGATAAAGATGCTCCCTTTTTTAGAGACAGATGGTGTAGTTGCAGCATTGACCACCGGGGGCCGAACGGCTATTTACTCTACAAAACAATACAGAACGGGCTGCAAGGTGGCACAGTGGGTAGCAAGTTAGCCTCATAGCAAGAAGGTCGCTGGTCAGTTGGCATTTCTGTGTTCTCCCCGTGTTCACGTGGGTTTCCTCTGTGTGCTCCAGTTTGTGCCAGTCCACAAACATGTGGTATAGGTAAATTAGGTGAGCTAAATTGTGTGTAGTGTATGTATATGAATGAGTGTGTATGGATGTTTTCCAGTGATGGGTTGCAGCTAGAAGGGCATCCGCTGAGTAAAACATACGCTGGATAAGTTGGTGGTTCATTCCGCTGTGCCGACCCCAGATTAATAAAGGGACTGAAAATGAATGAACGAATGAGAACTATAGAACAGGGTGATGATCTGAGAGGCTCGATTTGTGTTAAAAATATCCCGAAAAGTATTAATGTTATATTTATATTCTACATATTACTAAAGCACAACAGCAGCCTGTTTACAATCATTAGATATAATCAGGGCCGGAGTGGGACTCCTTTTTAAGCCTTCGACCGGCCCACCTCAGTTCACAACAGACTATATTAAAATAAGATAATTTCCAATTTAGTTTCTAATTACACTATCATGTCTTTTTCAAGAAAACAGCTGCTTTAGAACTTCAAATGTTCAACAACCTTACAGTTTTATACGTCTCAACAATAAAAATGGAAGAAAAAAAAAAATTACTCCGGTGAGGATCAAACACAGATCAATGGCGTCGTGACGCAATGTGCTAACCGCTCGACCACAATAGCACTGTTATGCTTTAGTGGCCAGAATGATAATTATATCATCATTACCCTGCAAGCTACATTTTGCTCACAGGGCTGTAAGACGATAAATAAGAAGAGCGGAGCTGAGGTAAAATAATGGATAAAAAGAGTGAGGCTATGGTCAAATAATTAAATAAATGAAAAAAAAAAGTGCAACTGCGACTGCTGCTTTCTCCGTTCGCCATGCTGGAGAGGAACAGTCTGCGCAAATGGAGCGCAGAGTGGGTGTCATCAACTACAGCTCTCATCTGATTGGCTGAAAGGTACGAATTGCCCTGCCTCTGGCAGGACAGTCTCAAAAATACACACACGTATCCAGGGGGAGTCGTACGTGAAAGAGGATTTGCACATTCTCATTCAGGATGGACTCGCAAGTTTAAAACATTCAAAACTTTTTGTACACTCTTATACATTTGTAAATGGTGTTTTGCATTTGTGAAACGTACTTTATGAAAATGTATTTTTATTTTGTGCACGTGAAATTTTTTTGTGAATATAAATAAATATTTTACGCACGTGAATTTGATTTTATGCAAGTGAATTTGGCTACGCATGTGTACATTGTGCCTTTTGCGTGAATTTCTGAGTGAGTCTTTTCTGACTCCATAGGTTTCGGGGGGCCACTGTGATCGAATAAGCACTATACCAAAGTTGGCAACGCAGGGGTGTTACAGACTGTATCAGAAAGCTGAAGGTGAAATTACGGGAGGTTTCCAAAAGATAAATAAAAAAAAAAACAGGGGGGTGGCGGGAGAAGGGTCTGAAATACGGAAGACTACTGGGGAAAATCTTGAGTGTTGGCAGGTATATAAAGGTATTAACCCAAACCAAAACCTCACCAAAATTCTCCCTCTCTTCTCTGATGGGATGGAGGGCCAAATCAAAGCCCTAGTTTGGATATCTCTGCTATAAATTTTTTAGTTTTAACAAAGCTCCCAGTCCAAAACCTTCAAATTTCTGTCATCAAATAAATGATCCTTGTCACTTCTGTTCAGACACAACACTCTTATCCCAATGCTCGATACATAAAGCATGTCAATGTGGTGTTGTCCTTCTAACCTCACAAATTATGATAAGAAATGTCTGACGTTTTGTTGCCAGAGAAAGTAAACAGCAACCCAGACATGAGACGATTACAAATCAACCCTTTTTTTAAAAATTTTTTACCATGCAACAGAGCAGCAAGAATAGAAATGAACAGTTGTGGACATGCACAAGCACGGAGCTGCATTACCAAAAAGGTGACGTCAAATATTCATCTCCGATGTTGAAGTTAAAGCTCTGAATAAGTCATGCATAAGAGGTTACAAAGAGGGAAACGTCTAGACTGATAAAACCATGCAAAGTCAACAAAAGAACAAACAAACGCAAAGGATTGATTATTATGAGCGAAACAATCCATTTCCACAGATTAAAGCGCAGTGATGCAAGGGTATAGACTCAACCCTCTGATATTTTCCAAAAAGTCTGCCTGGCCAGCTCATTCTCTGGCCGACTGGAGAAAAAGGAAGCATCTTTCATCTTTCTGTCGATGGATGAAAGCCAAAATGTTAAGAGCTCGCTCAATCTTTTATGAGGCGAGCTTTGGATTAAGTGCAGCTTTGTTTCAACATTTTCCAGTTTGGCATGGGCCACAACGGCCAATATACTGGCACCACAAATTTAATTAGACAACCGGAATATGGTCACGTCACAACTACAGCAAGACACTTGTGGCATTTCCAAAAACTAAACTCAAACATCATCACTTCTGAAATGTTTTCAAGTGAGCAGTTGAAGAATATTCCCAGTCAAAACACAATGACTTGCAGACTGAAAGGTGATTAACTTTCCTGTCACATGTCAGGTGGTATGTAAATTTTGGCCCATTAAGTAAGACATAATTACTGATGAAGCAGTGACTGGCTGAATCACTGATTGACTGATGAGTTCCTTGAAACCTTATTAATAAATCATTGCACACTGCTCGCATCCAAAAGTGTCATTTCGACTGAAAAAAAAAATTAAAAGTGTAAGAAATTGGCTCACGCCTGAGACGAGGTACAAATAATTGCAATGAAGTCAAAGCCGGCTCTCTAATATTTGCCAATTCAATTTTACAGGTTGTGAATCAAGATGTTTTACCTTCAGTCCGCTGTACTCGGCAGCAGAGCCTCGGTCCACTCCAGTAATATAAATGCCCAGAGCGTATTCAGCACCACCTCGGATCATCAGACCCAAAGATCGGCCATCATCCAGTGAGATATTCACCTGAGAAATATACACACACACACCTTTTTAGCATTTTATCATGCTCATCTCACTTGTTTATGCATACACTAACAAGTCCTCGCAGTTGTGCATCTCCTAGAGCAATCTAACCATACGTGTCCAATTCATTCTCTATGGGAGCTTAGCATTAGGTTTCCACGGGAATCATTGGATTGACAGCTGAGAAGGGGTTGAGAGTGTCAAGAAGTTCATCTTTATACAAATGAGCTGGAAAAACAGCAATGATGTCTGTCACAAGCATTTTAAAACCTACCGATAATGCTGAAGTTAATGGTTGAGTCAATGCCTAAAACTCAGACTGTCACATTTCAGATTTTTTCCCATTCTTTCTTTTTATTATTATTATTTTGAAACTGATAATAATAATGATTTTGGGTTTTTACCATTTAACTATGATCAACTTTAAATCATAGCTGCGACATGATTCAAATAACAGTCTTTTCAATTAAAAACTGAGATAGACAATATTCTATTTCAAGTGCACTACAAACTTGGAAGTGTGCCAACAGTGTAATTGCAAATCAAATGTAGCTGTTAATAAGCTCAGCAGAAAAAAAATGTGAGAAATATAAAAGCACATCGTATGGATACCAACTTTATTCTATAAATTTAGTATTGGACAAGAAAATAAAAAGTCTTGGTGAAAGAGCTATGGGCATCACAGAGAACTAGCAATGCCTGTAAACACAACTTGAAAGCAATTTTGTCAGGACGCTCTGAAAATGTAAGACCTTAAAGAAATTGGAAAATAAGCATATTTTTAATTTGGGCAACTATCCATTTACTATTTACATTCACCGACCATTTTATTAGGTAGATTTGTCCAACTGCTCATTAAGGCAAATTTCTAATCAGCCAATCACATGGCAGCAACTCAGTGTATTTAGGCATGTAGACATGGTCAAGCCGATCTGCTGTAGTTCAAATCAAGCAACACAAAGGGGAAGAAAGGTGATTTAAGAGACTTTGAAGGTGGCATTGTTGTTGGTGTCAGACAGGCTGGTCTGAGTATTTCAGAAACTGCTGATCTATTGGGATTTTCACACACAACCATCTCAAGGGTTTAAAGACAATGGTAAGAAAAAGAGAAAATATCCAGTGAGTGGCAGTTCTGAATATGCAAATGTCTTATTGATACTAGAGGTCAGAGAAGAATGGCCAGACTGGTTCCAGCTGATAGAAAGGCAACAGTAACAGAACCTCAAATAACTACTCGTTACAACAGAGGTATGCAGAACAGCATCTCTGAAAGCACAACATCTCAAACCTTGAGAAGGACCTTGTCACTCCTGTCAGCTAAGAGCAGGAAACTGAGGCTACAATTCGCACAGGCTCACCAAAATCGGACAACAGAAGATTGGAAAAATGTTGCCTGGTCTGATGAGTCTCGATTTCTGCTGTGACATTCAGATGGTAGGGTCAGAATTTGGTGTCAACATGTAAGCATCAATCCATCCTGCCTTGTAACAATGGTTTAGGTTGGTGGTGGTGATGTATTAGTGAGGGGGATACTTTACAGCCTACCTAAGTATTGTTGCTGACCTTGTCCATCCCTTTTAGACCACAGTGCACCCATCTTCTGATGGCTACTTCCAGCAGGATAACGCGCCATGTCATAAAGTGTGAATCATCTCAGACTGTTTTTTTGAACATGACAATGAGTTCACTGTTCTCAAATGGCCTCCACAGTCACCAGACTTAATCCAATAGAGCACCTTTGGGATGTGGTGAAACGAGAGATTCGCATCATTCATGTGCAGCCGACAAATCTGCAGCAACTGAGTGATGCTATAATGTCAATATGGATCAAAATCTCTGAGGAATATGTCCAGTACCTTGTTGAATCACGAAGGATTAAGGCAGTCCTGAAGGCAAAAGAGGGTCCAACCTGGTACTAGTAAGGTTTACCTAATAAAGTGTATAATAGATGATGAAATAAATGCATCAAAGCTGCAAAAATATACTATGCCTTTAAATGCAGTTAAATATTAGGTTTTCATCTTTAATAGATAGGATAGTCGAGAGTATAGACAGGAAATTGTGGGCAGCAGAGAGAGGGGAAGGATCAGCATAGGACCTTGAGGTAGAAATTAAACTCGGGTCACTGTGAACACCGGAGTGCCATCTAACCACTACATCAATGGCGCCAATCATTTTGTATAGTTTGTACAAATTTGCATATATTACAAGTTTAAGCAATACTATTAAGTTGTAATACTATTACATATTATTAGTAATACATAAAAAAGCCAAAGGCAAAAACAGCAACAACAACAAAACAATGGTTAAAAAAAAACACTTTAAAATTTCAGTATTTAAAAGCAATCATATTTTACAAACCAGACGCACCTATAATTTGTCGGTATCATTTCCAGCATATTAAGTGGACACTCAGGAAAAAAAGATTATGTGTTGGTGTATGGGATCATTTACCTCCTATCTGGAAATGTTTGCACACTTAATTTTGCTCATCAGTTATGGATGCCCATTATGGAAAAAAAGCAGCTAAGGCAATGAAGACATGGTGACTATAAATTTACCCACCCACCCATCAGGACTTTACTGATGCTTCACTTGAATGAAATTCCAATAGGATTCAAGTATGGGATACAGCACAACCAACCGCTGCGTTCTCCGAACCCCAATGAACAATTACCAGCAAATCAAATAAAGCTGTGTTTATTACCTCTCTGTGAGCTCAATCTTTGACGTGATTATGTTACATCAGTTTTTATTCATCTTGCATCCTTTAGCACTAACACAATCAGCAGACAGCCAGAATTCAAATATGATTCTCTTCAGTATTATTCAGACTACGAAGGAGGTGGATTCTGCATATGAAAGGTAATGAAACAGACAGTGCCTGACCTTTTCCCAGATGAGTCTGATTGGTTAAACTGTAGTGATAAATGTAAAGTATTGCTGACTGGAAAGTTTTAGTTGAAACTGACATACATTTGATTAAGCTCTGTTCTGTAGACAGTGCTAAAATACATGCATTATTAAACATACATGCATACAGGTCAACAAACAACCGTCCTTTTTCACACTTCATGCATTACACGTAGTGTGATAAATGGGGAATATGGATTTGGCTAGTTCATCTGCACTCAAATGATAGTTCAGATGGGTCAAATCAATCACACTGACGTAAAGAGCATTCCAGGTGAGTTGGGCCTAAAGCGTGCCTGAAATACTGTTTGCAGCAGCTCCAGAGTCAAGCCAAAACCGCACAAATCCCCCGCTAAAGACTCACTGCAGCGAGCATGCTCCACTGCCTCCATCCAAAACATATAGATCACTGTCAGAGCTTGTAATTAGGACTATCTAGAGTCATCCATAATCAAATCTCAAGAAACGAACTGTTTTTGTTGTTGCATTAACTACTGTCTGGAGTTTAGACAGCTATTACGAGTGAAAAGCTCCATTTTATAGGTTTTTATAGTGTAGGTGGATTAACCTAAATGTTATACAGTTAGAAAACACTCCACAGAATCCAAACAAAATAAGAGATTATAAAAATGTATGTAAGTATTTTCTATTCCTGAAAAGTCTATTTCAAATACCAGAGGTTCTAATATAATGATCTAGGCGCAAAGTCTAAAGTGCACGGTGCAAAAACATTAAGGGCATGTTTGAATCTACTTTTGCTATTTTAAAAACAGATAAATACGCTCTGCATCCCAGCGCATGGTCTGACAGGGTTGTGCTTATTCTTTTAATGAGTTATGGGTAAGTTTTGAGCATAACGTGCATTAAATCAATCTCATCTCCCATTCTCTTTAAGAGTCAGTTGCGTTGTGCCATGGCGCATTTGCTATTTACATGGAAAGAAAGTGGAAAAACTGAACACTTCACTAGTGAGAAAACGGAGCATCTGCAGTGCAAAGATAAAGAATGAGCCTCCTCCATTCTGCCTTTTTACTTTCTCTTTATCGTTTCTTTTTTCTCCTTCACTTTCATGGATAAGGAAACAGTATTGTATTCACTCCATTAATAACATCCATTAGCCTACATATTAATTTTGTTTATTAAGAGCAAAGATTTGTTTTAAAACTATTTCTAAATTGAGTTTTAATTTCCAGCAAATGAATACATAAACAATAAGAATTAAGTGTGGTCAAAAAACGTTATATACAAACACACGTCCTATTCTTATGCCCCATTTGATGATGCAGAGATCTTCAAAATCCGACAAGTGGATAAAAAAAAATAAACACCCTGAGCTACAGAAAGCATGGAGGCAGTAGTTTTTATATTTATGTAGAAAATAATAACTTTTGCAACATTTTAAATTCTTTAATTTGTGTATTAAGCAATGTGTAAGCATTTGGACCTGCACAGGTGCAAAACTAAAGCAATCTATGCTGGACTTTAGACCAGATTTTAGTTGTTCTATGGCGTGGTCTATTTGGGTGCCAACTTTGCACATTAACACTTCTCCTTTATAGACCAGCACACCCATGAGTCCACAAAGTGGCAAAAATAATTTTGATATTTAAACAACGCAGAGCAAAACAGGAAATTTACTGTTGCGCTGGTCTGAAAATAGCAACAAAATGCACCAAGCACGTCTTGCGCCTTATTGTGCCAGGAGTATGGTAGGGCGCCAGATGTTTACATATTTGATAATTATTGAATTCGTCAAAACTTAGCATCCATTTGATTCCGAATGCTGTGTTGTTGCCTGGATGGTCCATGGTTGTTTTTGTGAGCCATTCACTGCGTTTGCTTCTTGAAAATAAGTGAATGTATTCAATTTCATATATTATTTTCATCAAGAAATCATGGTACCACTTTACAAAAAGATTGTATTTCTTAATCTTAATGTATTTATTAACATGTCATGAACAAACAATGAACAATACATTCATTGCAGCATTTGTTCATGTTAGCTAATGAAAATACAGAGGTTCAATGTTAGTTCACATTAAATCACGGTGCATAAACTAATGTTATTATCTTAACTAATGTTAATGTATTATGTCTTTTTTCTTATCATTCCTTTACCAGTAAAAACAAATGCTCAGTCAAAACTTTTTAAAATCGTGAATAAATATTAAATTTACTTTTGCACGCTGGAGGATGGATGACAGCATGGTGAAGTATTTCTTTTAGACATGTTATGGTTCAAAACTATTGTAGTCAAGCAAAGCTTATTTAGATTGTGTTGTTTTACGAATGGGTTATATGCACAAAAGTGTTGTGCAGCCACTGAAATCTTCCAGTGAAAGACTATTGACTATTTTCAATTTCACAAGGCCTTTTACAGCATCAGTAATGTATACTTTCATTTAGTTTAACAACAGAACATTAGTAAATACCGCTATTCTGCCTAGCCTGCTTTACTGAGGTGAAGTTGGTTTTATATTCCCATTGGTTCAACCACTAAGCATACAGTAATCGCTTTAGGACAAAGCATGTGAGATAGTGAGACCAGCAATTCTTGCATGCATGAAATATTGCACATTATGACAAGTTTTGCAAACTACACAACTGAAAATGTGCTAGGTATAATACAGTTTTTCATTCAGAATAATAGTATTATTGAGCAGTGTAAAGTTTTCTAAATAGTGAATGACATGTTCTAGTGGGTTGTCTACTGTCATCTTTAATGTGCGCCTTCATGATATCAGTAGGCATGGCTTTGGATGGCAGGGGAGGGATTGTGTTTTACAATTAAATTATTGTGCAAATGCAAAACACACAAAAGAAACCCTAGGCTATATTAGGGGGAAAACCTCAACCTCTAATGATACCTTGTACACTGAGATAAAAGATGTTAATCTCTTGAGTCAGTCGTGGCAGATGCTTTATTTAGTACCAGAATTGTATTTGGCTGCAGTGTTTTAGTCCTTGTCGGCAGTGTTGTGATGGGCGACTGCTGTCCTTTGGATGTTTTTAGCTGAAGAGGCAGAATTTGGGATGAAGGTGTGAGGGCATAGTGAACAAAGCTGATGAATGTGTGTGCGTGTATGTGTGTGTGTTAATGCACCTACAGAGGAAAAAATCTGCAGAGCTGGTTTGCAGCAGAGAGGAATCCCTGACTTTGTTTACATCCACATTCTTAAGCAGATTATATCATAATAAGCCAACAATGCATGAGGTCTTGTTATCAGTTTTACTTTAATGGAGTAAAATGGATTAAAGATAACAAATAAACTAATAATCACAGCTAGATTTTTGCCCCTAAGGCAGATTTAGTTGGTTTATTTTTTGTGTGTGCTGTCTGACAGGAACATATGCAGTTTTATGCAAAAGTTTTGGCACCCCTTTGTGGCTGCTTAGTAATGTGCTCTTTCTTTATAAGAAATCACAGTGAAATTCCATTCGGTTTCTAGAGAAACCTTAATAATTACATGATTTTGATAGAAATAGGTAGTGTAGCATTATTGAGATGTGTGAAATTAAGATCAAACCGTAAAATAGGCTTTGCAAAAGTTTGGGCACCCTCTATTTAGTGTGGTTAATGTTAATTCAGAACTAAAATGTGGTTTTTTTTTCCTATATATTCTTATAATATATATCCAAATGAAATCGCTGATTTGAAAGGCCAGCAGGCTATGGCTTACAATTATAAAAATTATCAGGTGTGCCCAAACATTTGCATAAACCTGAATATCCTCATTTTGTGGTAAAATACAAATACTGTATTTTGAGAGGATAATACATGAGTCATAATATTTCCATTAGCTTTTAAAATCCATCAATTTTTGTGAGCATTTATCACATAAAAACATGGAAATAAACAGATGCACATAAATTCATAAAATGTGCATTAAAGCTTATACACACAACTGAGTATGAAAAACTTTTTATTTGATTAGAAAAAATGTGCATAAACTACAATGGAAACACATTTACCGAATAAATTCCAGCACACGCGTCATAATGGGGTATATGCACAGCTAGTGTTTCTTCCCATATCGATAAACTTCCGGTGAACAGTTTGTGACTTCTTTCAATTTTTTACAGGTTCCTTTTACAGCATTGATGTTGTAATGTAATAAAAATATAATCAGCTAAATAGACTATAGCGTTTATTTAGTTATTCAAGCATAAAATGAGATAAAAAGCCGTTTACTCGCACACACCTGTCAGGATCAGCAGGCTAGCGCAGAAACTCCACTGAAATTACTGGAGTTAAATAAATGTTCATATTTTAAAGACATGGTGTGAAAAATATTATTTAATCCAGTGCTTCTTGTACATTCACTTTATATAGTATATCAATCAGGCAGTGAAGAGTTGATTTATAAAGAAAACAGAACGAAACTTAAACGAGCAAATTTTGTAACGGCATACAATTCACTGGAAGCGTTTGGCCCCAGGTTACTGAAAAATTAAAAGTCCTTCTGAATACTTCTGCATGTACCCTATTGTCATGTGATTTTGTTATAACAGATCATGTGATAACAAAAATATGCACGATGGAATCCCATTAGTGGACAAACCAGCGTATGGTCCACATTGCATAACATCTAAAATGTTGTTTAGAACTTTCTAAAATCCCTCACCACCAAAGTGGTTCAGTATTTTTATTGACAGAACTGTATTTAGCGGCTGTGCTCACAAAGAGTGGTATCATGGCTCTACAAGCCACAGTGTGTTCATTGTGTTTCATCTTTTGAGGCACAAGTATATTATTATTTAAGAAAAAAGGCTTACAGGGGTTTCTCCTATTACAGCAAATTTCAGTTTTTTATATTTGGCACCAGTTTATCACATGATGTGACGATTTTGTTCTGTTTGACCAATAGGGTGGAAATGGTGCTTTATTTGCAAATGTTTTATGCGATAATCTAGTTTTGCGTTCAAGTCTAATTCGCGTCTTTGAATGGAAACATACTGGTGATGGTGACTTTGCAATAATCTTAATAAATTTAACATGACAACATGTAGATATGCAAACTATTATGTTTTATGTCGGTAAGTTTTGCACAAAGTTTTGTAAACTTACTTGGTTACTTTTTTGCATGTAAACTGGGATAACAGGTTATATTAATCAGCTGATTTTTGTGAGTTATCACCTTATTGACGTACATGAAAATGTGCTCACTGAGACATTTGGATCATTTCTACACTTCTTCGAGCTGTCATTTCTTACATAAAGCCACAGATGTTTAACACTTTACAGCGTCACACTGAATTATAAATCACTTGAGCTCCACTGAATATGCGGTGATGATGATCAATGTTTTAATGGTTCCGTAAAATTTAAATACATATATATAAAAAAAAATTGGTGTTGATTTCAGTCTGTTAGTTTTAAGGATGTCTGTTAGCTATTGTGCTCCAAAAAATCGTGTTCAGAAAATATAAAACTGATATGAACATCCAAAGCTTACAGTTTGTCACTTCCACCTAAATCGATCAGCAATTGTTTTTAAGTCACCTAATACTTCAGTCTCTCTTCAAATCTTGACCAATCAAATGCTCTCTAGTATCTGACATGCCCTGCCCCCTTCAAGATGCTTCTCATTTGTTTTTCATTTGATGCCCTCGAGTTCAACCACTCTCACTGGCAGAGCTGGGATAAAAACAAACGCTATTGGCTGTTTTTTAAAAGGGAATGAGCTACTCTGTACCAAGCTCCCTTAATTTTTTTTAGTGGAGATTAAGTCAAACATCAAATGAGAAAATGGACATTTCAAAGCACTTCATAGGAGCTTTAACACTGACCTTTTTCTCAGTGTTTGTGTGGAGGTCCGAGAGTCTTCCCCCTAAGCTGTGCTGCTCCACCAGGTCTGGAGGAGGAGACACACTGCGGCCCTGAGGGTCTACCCATGTGTACACGTGATTGGTCACATAACCACCTGGGATCCGCCCCATCGAACAGACTGACATCGACAGCTTCTTCGAGCCCTTCAAGACCTGTAAAAAGAAAATCCAGAGATGAGGACTGCTGAGAATAAAACAAAAATAATCATTAAAAATTTTTTATCAACTTTCATTTGTGCTCGTTTATATTGTGAAAGTTATGTTTAGTTCTGTTTGTTTTTGTCTAATCTTTGTTGGCTTTTGATCTGGATTTTTCTTGTTTCTCCTTCATCCCAGTCTTCAGTTATCACAATTGTTTGATTAGTTTAGACCTGTTTGTAGTTTGGTTCATTCATCCTTGTGTAAAAGCCCCTTAGTTTGCATGCTCTTTTGAGTTTTTTTAAAAACACTTTTTTTTATATTTTATTTTTTTAAAAATTTTATGCACATATATTTGGATTAAAATGTATATCATATAAACACACATACATACATAGTTCATATATTTGAGCAATATCACATGAGTAGCAGTGCATTACGGCTGTCTATCAGCACTGATGGGAGGCATGCATTCTGCAGTGATAATATAAAGCCATATCGCACTTATACAAGTGTGATATTGCATTTATACAACAGTTCAATGTCATAATCGTGTATATACAAAAAAGAGAATCAAACATGGAGAGTCTAAAAAATCCTTTTTGTATGAGGAACTACTTTCTTCCTCCATTCCTTCACATCTGCAGCTGATCAGAACAGCAGAAACAGTTGCTATCTCACCAACATCACTTTAGAGCTAGTATTTGAATAATTCTACAACGTAATACCCAAAGTGATGAGAAAAGAGGTGATTTTGCTTGCTTTTTAGGATTGAACATCTTTTGATGAGAAAAGGGGTGACTTTGCTCACCTTTAAAGATTATACGGCTGAACGTCATGAAATGCCATCAGTTAACAGAGATTTCACTGTATTTCCTTATTGCAATTGGGAGATCACAATAATAAACCCCGAAAAAGCCAAAGCCAAAGCAAACACTAATAGATAACTATGGAATAAATACAGCACTACATACAGAGAAGAGGGAGATGGATTTGGAGTGTCACTTACCAGTGTTATGATGATTTGATCGGCTGAAATTTAAAATTTTTTGCAGAATTTTTTCTCCCTTAAGGACGTATTATCCAGTCTCTGTCACCATCTTGTGCCCGAACATCAACTATCTTTGCTCTGCTCTGACAGGCTGATAGATGATTATAAATATTTAAAACAGGCACTATCCTTATAAAAAAACTGCATAGTTGCAATAGTTGCAGTTGCAAAAAAAGCCTCAAAAGTACATTATGTTGTCCAACAGCTGCAATATTTGTCAAATTGTAGTAAGGCTATTGATCTGCTGTCCATCTATGTGGGTGGAGTAATACACAAGGGTGAAGAGGCTGTACGAATGCTCATAATGCAGCATATTGCACGGCTATCAGCCAATCAGATTATATACATATATATACGTGTGTGTGTTTGTGTGTGTATACACACACACACACACACACACACACACACACACACACACACACACAAACACACACAGGGCTTGACATTAACACCTGCCAACCTGCCAAATGTGGATAGATTTCACCTGTGGCGGGTTAGACAGCTGCTCTCACTAGCCGCTTGGTTGGTTAAAATAATTTTTCAATGGCTAGTGCTTCCTGGTCACTAAAGATTAGAATGGTAACTTAAGAACGTTTGTCAATATGCGTTAATATGTGTCAAAATGTGATCTTAGAATAGAGAAGCAGTGTGACAGATGACTGTTCCGACGAGCAGAATAAAGCAGGTGAATAATGAATGAGAGGATCAAGCGCATGGTAAAATGTAGGCTTTCTTCGCTCACTGGCGAGAGCTTGATGTCGCGCGCAAAAAATAAAAAGTATAGCTTAAAGGGGATAATTATTTTGTCCTTAAAATGGCTTTTAAAAAATTAAAAACTGCTTTTATTCTAGCCGAAATAAAACAAATAAGACTTTCTCTAGAAGAAAAAAATATTATCAGACATACTGTGAAAATTTCCTATATATATATATATATATATATATATATATATATATATATATATATATATATATAACTTTATCAAATCAATTATAGCTGACATTAGATATTATTCATAAATTTATTTAACTATAAAAATGAGTAAAAAAATGAAAAAATAAATAAGCCTTTATAAAATGAAATACATAACAAATATATACACACATATACACAGAACTTAATAAATTGAAAAACAATAAGCAAGCAAATGGAATGAACAAACAAACCAACAAAGTCAATGTGACCAGCAAATGAAAATGTAATGACTCACTGTGAAACATTTACAGAACATTAGTGAGCAGAACTTAAACACTGACTCTTTTAAAATAAAAGCAGAGTTGTGTATCTGCGGTTACACTCTCCTCTTAAAAACTGCACAGTGATTTGACCTGCTGGAGATGTAATTCTGAGTTCACGGCCTGTAAGAGCCAAAAAAGTCTAATAAAAGATCTCACTGACTCTAGTGCAGGTCTCTTGTGGATTAACTCAAGCCATGTAAAACAGTCCCACCACCTCTATGAACTGCTCTCATTTCTGAATAAAACACCCGCACATACAGTTGAAGTCAGAAATATTAGCCCTCCTGAATTATTAGCCCCCCTGTATATTTTTGTCCCCAATTCCTTTTTGATGGAATAAGATTTTTTTCAATACATTTCTAAACATAATAGTTTTAATAACTCAACTGATTTATTTTATTTTGACATGATGACAGTACATAACATTTTACTACATATTTTTCAAGACAATAGTATTTAACTTAAAGTGACATTTAAAGGCTTAACTAGGTTAATTACAGGTATGTTAATTAGGCAAGTTATTGTATAGCAGTGGTTTGTTCTGTAGACAATTAACATATATATTGATTAAGAGTGCTAATAACATTGACCTTAAAATGGTTTTAAAAACATTAAAAACTGCTTTTATTCAAGCCAAATTAGAACAAAAAAAAAACTCTCCAGAAGAAAAAAATATAGGAAATACTGTAAACAAAATCCTTGATCCGTTAAAAACCATTTGAGAAATATAAAAATAAAATAAAAATATCTCAGGAGAGCTAATAATTTTGGCTAAAACTGTACATCCGTCTCTGACATTTAGCATTCTTTATAGCGACAGAGCTGACCATCTCGCTGATATTTTTCAGTACACCTTCAGATGATGACAGATCTCACCTCCCAGTACAGAGCAGAAAGTTCAGACAGACTCTTGATTTTCAAGTCCCTTGGAAAGGTTGGATCAGATCACTGAGATTTTTTTTGTACATTTAACTTTGCGTTTGGGCTTCCTCAAAGCAAAAAGAGCTGGTCAGGGGGTAAAGAAAAAGAAGAAGAAAGACAGATGTGGAAAGACTACAGATAGAATATCTCTCAAAACACATTCAAAATCCATATACTGGTTTTGCATTCAGGGTCAGTGAGGACCAAAAGAATCAATACTATATAAAACAGCCATAAATTCATACATTTCAGATAAAACCACAGCGATACCATCAGTACATATTAAATGTTATATTCAATCCAATTTAAAATTTCAATTGGATTTGTGATTTATTCTATACTGATGACATTTATTCTGATAAAAAAGTTGTAATTTAAATTATAATTTTTTTATTCAAAATAACAAAAAGATGCCATGGTTTCAGACATGTTTATATTCATTTGACAACACATCAGTGTTTAAATGACAACTGTTTTTTTTTTATTTGGTAAAAATTTCATACCGTAACAGATACTTTCTATGTGGATTTATGTTTTGAGTTTTTACTGCAAATGTCACATCCATAACGCTGGAATTGCTCATATATATATATATATTTTTTTATATATATATATATATTTTTTTTTTTTAAATGTTAAAATCAATTTAAATGTGTTATGAAAAAAAATTTAAGGAAAATAATTGTGAGACATTGACCTTGGCCCCACTTCAGAAAGAAGGTTAAGTGAAAACTCTGTATGCTAACTCTGAAATGAGAGAAACTCTGGGTTTTCAGTTTCAAAATGGTTTGTCAAACTCGAGAAAGCAGGCTATGTCAAGCCTGTTTCTGAAAGAGAAGTAACTTCTACTCAGAGTCTGTTACCATGGTGTGAACCTAACCTTGTCAGGAGCAGGTTTTTTGTCTAAACTCCAAACTATCTTTCTATCGCTCCCCCTTTTTAAAGACAAAGTGGTATTTCTCATCATAGTCTTTGTCATTCCTTACCTACTTTTCAGTCACACAAAGAACAAAGTTACAAGAATGGCTTGTCCTTTTTTGAGGGGAAATTACAATAAGATTCAATAGCAAAGTTTTAAGTTTTACCTTTGATATTACTGCAAACGATGAATAGTTTGCTTTAATTCACTGACATTTGACAGGGACATGTACTGTAAATAGGTTAATGGGATTATTACTCAGTCTAAAAACTATTTTTAGTACTGCTTACATTCTAAATGTCAACTACTACACTTGATCAATAAAAAAAGGCAGACACACAAGTGCACTTTTAAATCTATTAAAATATATGCATTCTTGTTTTGTCAAATTTGTTGTGGAAATGCAGTAGCCTATTTTATGTCATTTAATGCAGTTACATCTGAAATATCTACAAAATGACGGCCAACTCTTCACTTTTTCAACTGAAAAGTCTATAAATGTCACACATTAAATTACTTATTTTTTTATATTCCTAAATATTTAAATACTAAACTTGCGCATTAACTTGAACAGCTATGTTTTTCATGCTGTCTCTGTTTTGCAGTAGTGTAGCCTTTTTTTTTTTAAATATATGGTCATATTTGCTACAACTTTGCATGGGCACATCAAGTTCAGCTGGAGAAAAAAAATTAGATCTCGTTTTTCAAATGTTGCCATGGTGAATCGTAATATCTGCGCTCCATTGATAATGCCTTTTTATTGACTCGGTGTGCGTGTTTAATTCCTCTAGTCCTACGCCACCCCACTTGCTCCGAGCTGGTATAGAACCGGCGACCTTCCGCATGATAGTCGGTTGCTCTACCAAGGAGGCTAAAGACCATGGCC